TTTTCCTGCAGTTATTATAAGTTGTCGTCCTATATGGCGTCGTGATCTCCGGTAACAGCGATATGGGCTAAAATACTACCGCAATGTTAATATCGCTGACCTTGTCTCAACCCCAATCAGGTCCGTCCTACAACCTAGACAGCATCGATCATCGCAGGGTGAGGGGAGGACGCCTGGAGGCACACACACATACACACACACACACACACACACACACACACACACACACATATATATATATATATATATATATATATATATATATATATATATATATATATATATATATATCACAACGGTAGCAGATCCAAAATGGGAAGGAGCACAGGGCTGAGGCCTCCTTGTGCTCCGAAGAGACCCATAGGCTCCAAAAAGGCCAGCCGGCAGAACAAACACATTTTTGTTCATGCAAAACGCAATAAAATTGGCCGTCTTTGGGCCTCAATACGGTTTAAAACAATAGCAAGCAAAAGCGAAAGATTCACGGACACATGGGCGTAGCGACAGGGGAGGCCAGGGGGGCATTGCCCCCCCCCCATCCACTTTTTAAGGCGGGGGGCCACCAATGCTGGCTGCCCCTCACACTTTTCAGATTAGAATTGCATTTGGCTTACTTTTGCACTGCATTAAACATGCATGCCGATTTAACTAGTTCACCAGCAATCTTCCTTACGTTACGTCATCTTTTTCGTTTGCTCACTGGCCATCACTCAGTGCTACGGCCGCAAGGCTGGGCGTCGAGGCTGTTATTGCTATGACTTGCGAGCACGCATCTTCAACACCATATTACGTAGTTTTCTTATCAGTAATCAGCTCTGACAGGATCTTGAGCATTATAAGATAAACATGGGCTAACCATGTTAATGCAAATTATGAGCCCCATTTCATCTGCAATCTACAGTCAGAGAGAACTCAATATCTCTGAATAACACAGAAAAAACATGGAACTGGAGTCTATGTGAAAACTATCGGACTGCCTGCGGCGATCAGGGATGTTGTTGCGTCAATGAGGGTCCCTGTGCTGATCCGGGGCTAACTGCGCGGATCACAAGGCCTCCCGTGTCATGGATGGGAACAATGTGATATAATGTATCCTTCTAATGACCTCCGGATCGACCAGGAGATCCCACGCCGTGCCACCAGAATGATAGCCAGAAGACACTTCGCGATGGGACAGAATGGCCCTTAAGGCCTTAACGGGAAACGGTAATGTACCCCTGGTGTTCTACTCAAGAGGCCCCTTGCCCCGGAAGGGAATAAGGGGTCTCATTATTGTTGAGTAGATTGGGGCTCTCATTATTGTTGAAAAGCACGGGTCGAAACGAATTTTAAAAAACGAGCAAGGTCATGCCATGTTTGCCTGAGAACGTTTATTTCTTTCAAAACGTATAATTGAAACAAATTACATCGAAAGGCATAGGTTTAGGGGCTAATCCGTTCTTTTCATCAACCTAAAAATTGCACGCGTGAAATATCCTCAGACTGCCTTCTAAATACAAAATCTGATGCCATGAAGCGTCCGAGGATACTTTCTCAGAAACGTCGTCATTTTCGTTCACCCGTTGGCCACAACTTAATATTAGCAGCTAAACCGACGCTGCGCGGCCTATGGAGACTGCAACGCACGGGAGCAAGGCTTGTGTTTCTAAAATTTTCAAGTGCGCATGCTCCAAATTACGCCACATAACTTGTATAACTAGTTGATTAAAGTGTTTAAAGGTAATCATTTCAGAAGCGTCATCATTTTCGTCCATCGGTGGGCCACGGCTAACTGCTAGCTACTGGGCTAACGCTCCGCAGAGACTACTACTACTAACTACTACTAACTACTAACTATGGAGACTATGAGACTATGGAGACCACAACTAACTGCGGAGACTGCAACGCCTGGTGTCGAGGTTTTTGTTGCTAAGATTTGCGAGCGAGCATGTTAAGAAACACGTTATATGAGTTGCACCACTAATCGATTCTGACTGAATGGTGAACATTTTCAGACAACACATGGCTTGGCCATGTTAATACACATTGTTGACCATTTGATTTGCAGTCAAATTTTCGTCTTCAAGTTTGGATCAAACGTATCGATCTACAATGTACATTCGCGATGTTCTCAAGGTCTGTAGAACCCAGATAAAAAATTGACAAAGCTTCTGAATTTTATCGGTTTAGAAAGAGTCGGCTAACCATTGTAAATTAAGACCGCCGGTGATTTCTTCCACGCAGTCGTTCAACGCCTGCTTTCTGCAGCTTATTGACTTCAAAATGCAAACAATTGAACTCACGGTGACTCCTGGTTTCTGTTCTGGTTACAAGATAAAATAACAATAAAACGAAGAAAACCGTGTCACCCGTTAACAATCCAGCCATATCCGGGGATTTGGGGGGATCGCCATAATATCGGCTTTTATCAACCCTGTGTTCCCTCTTGGTAAGGCTCTGGCTAAGTTCCTGCCCACACACAAAAGCAGATCAAGTTGCGTACGTTGCATGATGGGCAATGAAGCGTCCGTTGGGCCAATCCATACCTAAGGCAGACAGCTTCCCGGAGGCTATTTTTCTGCGATGGTGTGGTATAAGGGAAGATAATTCGGGAAAAATACTGTTACAGGTGTCCAACACATGTTTCATACACCATGTAGAAGTAACGCTGATACATAAGTATGCAACAAAGTAGACACACGATTAGCTCGCAGTCAGTCATGCGGGAGACACCCAGGCCAGGGCAGTGACCACCGACGGCGGACAGGAACAGGGCCCAGATAAGGAGCATATGACAGATGGGCCTTATTATGTGACTTGATTCTTAAAAGAGAATCTCCGGTTTTATAGCTTTTATGGTTTCTAGCAGTTTCAAGCTCCCGAATTGTTTCCGCCTAAAATGCTGCGACAGGTCTTATTTCTTGAAAAGCAGCCAGCGAAATGAAGGCGCATGAAAAACCTGGCGCACTGTGAGCCATCGATCCCCTTTCAAAATTCTCACCAGTCTATATCCATGCCGTATTTTGGCATCTACACTGTGGAAGCAAATGCTTCCTTAATGACCTAAAATACCTACCCGCTCGTGGAATTTCGTCTCCCCAGTAAAGACAATGTTAAAATGGGCGAATAATCTAGGGAAGCTGGATAGCCTTATTTGCCAAATGACAGATGAGTCGAATAGGCAAGATTGTGCATCAGTGATAAACAGCTCTAGATGCATAGCAGCCAGACATTTGAATAAAGAGCGATGAAAATCTCCATCCCTATCCCCCCCCCCCCCCCCCCGCCTGGTTACCGGGCGCGCTTTCCAGAAAAAGTTTTTGAAGTACACCCTGAGCTTGCCGCCCCCCCCCCCACTTTTTGAAACGTTCCTAAGCCTATACACGGGCAGACATTAATTATTCTTTGCTGATCGAGATGGTGGTAATTGGAAGACTGTAGGGCTCATTACGGTGTGCAGGGGCCCCACGCCGCTGCCACAGGATCTGTATTTCCACTTGCAGCGGCGATCCGATCGTCAGGGAGCCTTCCACGTTTCCCTTGATTTCTTTGCATTTGTTCGGAGGGCCATACACTCCTGTCGGGGCCCTATCTGCTGTCGATCAGAGGCCCTCCACGAATTCTTCTCATTCGCCCGAAAGACTCTGTATGCTTTAGCAGAGACCCACATGTTTACCTACCGGGGTACCCTCGTATGCCCAGGGGCCATTCACATTGGTCTCTGTTAACCTAACGGCACACTCACGATGTGCTAATGGACCCTCTTCATTGGTCTAGTGCCTTTCCAATTTCCTGGCACTTGCGGAGAGCTCTTCGGCCATGTCGCGGACCCCGTCTGTTAACCTGCTTGGGCACACTCGATCGTTCGGGAGCCCTCCAAATCGGGTCCTGGTTACCTGGTTATTATTAGGTCCTGGTTATTCGAACGTACCCTAGCGAACACACGTGGAACTATTTCGCGGGCACTATCAACTGTGGACATGATATGATATGATATGATACGGACGCTTTTGAGATCGAGGGGCAGAACCACGGGTGGGTTGGACTCAGCATTGGCTAGATTCGACCAGACGCCGCAATGCAGTCATGAAGAGCCCAGAAGGCTGGACAGGACGGCATCGCGCAACCGAATCCGGGATAATCTCGATATGCCACGGACGAGCATCCGCCGGGATAATCTCGATATGTGACGGAGGAGCACCCCGGATAATCCCGATATTTGACCTACGATCATCCGCACGAATGCCTTCGCGTCGTGCCACTTTATCAGGAGCTTGCGCACGAGTGAAACCGAGGCGCTGAACACGTCACAAACATGATCGAGTGGATCGAGTGTTAGACCTACTCACCTCCCATCGGGCTCGTGCTACAGATAAATTTGGCAGTTACATTACGCTAAAGGAGAATACTATCGAAAGGAAGCATGCAAAACTGATCAGACTGTACCGTTACTGTATGCGTCTGTCATCTAGATACGCTTCTTCGGTAAACCCAACCCAACCAATGTCCACCAGCCGTAAACTACGTAGCTCCAGCGGCTTCACACAGCTGGGCACTTTTCACAAAACCATGCGTTTGCAGCCACTGGTGATGCCGCCATGCACTTTGCAAAATCCATTCGTGTGGGTGCCCAGGACACTTGCCCCATTCAGACTGGTTTACAATTTTTTATCACCCGCACTAACACGTCTGTTGTTTCGCTGGCCTCGCCCCGCGAAAGGGACCTTACTGATTGTTCGTCAGGATGACGACTGAAACATTCAGGTGATCCGACGTATGTAAAGCGTCTGCATGCAGTGAGTTGGGACTATGTTTTAGTTAGAAAAAGTTGTCTTGCTTAACACTTCCATGAATGATAATGACATGTATCTGAAGTTAAGCAATTTCAAGCCCATGGAACAATTTTGAATGAAATATTTTCCAACGGCCGTTTCAGCCAACCAGTTGTAGGTTCCCTTACGTGCAGCTGATCACAAAATGTGAGCACGAGTGGTTTGTGCTAAAAAAAAAACAACGCACAATCAATTGTGAACGTTTGTATTACAGATAGCTTGGAGCAGAGCTCCAGCCAATGGTTACTCAGCACCTGAGATCATACATACGATTACAACGTGCAGAAATGGCAAACTAGCGCAGGGTACACGAAGGCATAGAACTGACGAACATCGTAAAAGTTTCGAGGAAACAACCAAGACGCCATACTTACCCGGGCGTCCTCTGTGTCCGAGGGCGCACCAACGTTTATTCTCGACTAATCAAGCCCGGTGTACAGCCACACCAGGGTTGTTCCCAGAGGCCAGGTGAGCGCCGCCGCGTGACGTTACCGCCGACCGCAGTATGGACGACAGTGTCCTCCCGAGCGAGCCGTGCCGGGGGGCGGACCACCCTCGACGGACAGACGCACAGACCAGACCCGCTCCCGCTGCCGCCGTCCGCTCCTGACACGCGTCCGTGAGCGGGGCACTACAGCAGGCGGCCGCGACATTCCTGACCTTCATCATCCTAGATCAGCGTGCCGCAGTGGCAGTACATCGCTTCGGGATGTATTGTAGCAGGGCACTACAGCCGGCGGCCGCTGCACGCGCCCGTGAGCAGGGCGCTACAGTAGGCGGCCGCGACATTCCTGACCGCCGCAGCGACAGTACATCACCGGTCCGTCGGCAGCCGCCGCCCGCTCCCGACACGCGCCCATGAGCAGGGTGCTACAGCAGACGGCCGCGACACTCCTGACTGCCGCAGTGGCAGAACATCACCAGTCGGTCGGCGGCCGCTGCACGTGCCCGTGAGCAGGACACTACAGCAGACGGCCGCGACATTCCTGACTGCGCAGTGGCGGTGCAGCACCGGTCGGTCGGCAGTCGCTGCACGCGCCCGTGAGGAGGGCGCTACAGCAGACGGCCGCGACATTCCTGACTGCCGCAGCGGCAGTATATCACCGGTCGGTCGGCGGCCGCTGCACGCGCCCGTGAGCAGGGCGCTACAGCAGGCGGCCGCGACACTCCTGACTGCCGCAGTGGCAGTACATCACCTTGCCGGGCACCGAGCCAACCTCGTAGTTGTAGTCCCAGGTGAGCTCTGTGCCGGCGCGGATGTAGGACAGCGCGAAGAACGCCACCCACGGGAAGCGCAGGTCGTGCGTGTCCACGAACACGTTCTGCACGAACACGTTCGGCGAGCAGCTGTGCTGTGAAAGACATGGTACACGGTCGGACGGGAGCCGGGGACAGACGGACTAGGGGCGACACCACCTGAAGCCAAGTCACTCGAGCATACAAGTCCATCAGAACGGTCCACTGTCCGCCCGTCCCGCTGTTCGTCGCAGGCCTGGCAAAGCTGCGCACTGATACCGGGTACGAGCAGACAGAGCACGGTAGGTGTATGCTGCCTTACATGCGAAGGTGCTTAACCTTACACTGGGCGTCTCTGTAACCGTAGATTTTGAAAGGCGCGAGGGCATATGGCTATACAAATGTTGTTTGACCTGGAAATGACCAGCCCATTTACACAAGTATTGGGTAAAATTCTTGTCAGGGAAGATACATAAACACATTTGGCCCAGGGTCGAACCATGGGCGGAGCCACCACTAGGATTAGTGGGGTCAGGACCTCGTGGTTTTAGGCCAAAACAGAAATTAAACTCCAGGAAGATTTAAGGCGAGGTTGCGTGTACGGTTCTAACTTCCCAAATTTCACCTCATGTAACTTTCCTATTACACCTTTAACAGCAACGATCATTTCCATTGCGCATCAGATTCAGAAAAAATGTCTTGAAGAGCCCGCTGCTGCCCAGAACTTACACTTCCGTGAACTATTTTGTTTGCAAACCTGTTGCATACAACAATTGCTACGGCACACCTTCAATACGAATAAAATCCATTCCCGATTGCATGCAATGATGACTGGTTCATGTGACGAGCCCGAAAAAGTACCAACCATTTAGGTAACACCAACCTACATAAACTCATCATTTGCATAAGAATATTTTCCAATCCAACGCCTATCGTTGCGAGCCACTTCGCTCACGAACATTTAAGAACCTGTTTACAGCACGTACCTTTGATAGCACGAACTTCTGTGCAAGTCTTTGTCTAAGAAACGTAGTGGCTTAACAGGAACGTTTCACATTTGAAGATTTTGAATCAAACATCAAATATGATAAAACACGTTCACTTATAACTTTTGGTATAATTTCAAGTAGAAAGGACTGCTCCAGACAACACAATTTCTTTGTTTAGTAAATATGTTCTTCGATGAGTCACTGTTTGATTACGTCATCGTACATTGCACAACACTGATTGAGAGCCAACTGACGACCATTACATATAAAATTCGAGCTCACGGACGCCAAATATGAAAGACTCCAACATCCAATTTTTTTCGACCTTGATCGACGCATGGCTTGGTCAAGGTCAAGTTCCAGGCTGGTCTCCAAAGTGTCCCCAGAACCCAGATAACCGTTTTTAAGCAAAACGTCACATGCTCATTCAAGGTGAGTGACCTCGTTTGACCTTTTGAAGGCCAAGGTGACCAAAACAATGCAAGATTGCCTTGAGTTTTGCATTTGATTAAGCGACAAAGATAACGCTAGGCAGCTTGTTCCTAAAACAAAATGTTGACGTCGGTCATTTTAGGTCAGACCTATTCTGACCTCCAAGAAGTCCATGGAAGATGTATAATGCGGTTCCTGCTATCCATAAATTCGAAATGAGCACCAGAAACTACCCCATACAGCAAGCCCTAGAGTAACAAAAGAAGTTGGTTTTGACCTTGGCGTGACCTTTATACCTGACCTTAGATCAATGTAATTTGCCCATTCAACTGCTGTGTTGCCTAAGAAAGTCCTTCAGAGATGCATGACTTTGTCTAACACTCCGTTGTTAGATCAGACAGAAGGATTCCCTAGAAATTGCCTTCGCTGAAACCATGGCGTGACTTTGACCACCTGCCATAGGTAAGTGACCTTAGAAAGTACACCTAAATGTTTGATGTCAAACGATCCGCTGTGCACCGAAAGGTCTTCAACATGATTCTTTCAGTCCAAAACCCCATATAAAAGGGAGACACCCCCTATAATGAGTCCAACATTACGAACCATGGTTCTGGAAGCTCACCCAATGATGTTTCACATCACCGAGCGTGACCCAGCACAATCACAGCACAGCGCGCCCCCACCCAGCGCGGCCCCATCACGCGACGGAGCGCGGCGCCGTCACGCGGTGTGGCTCACGTTTAGGTAACGGCCCAGGTTGCCAATGGTCTTGGCGTCCATGATGTAGCAGTACTCGTCGGCGCCGAACTGCTCCCGTACTGACTTGTAGTCATCGTCGGGCAGTGAGAGACGGCCGGCGCCCGGTCCGCCCGCCCGGTCCGCCTCTGGGGTCACACGGGCACACAGCGGGTCAGGGAGGGTGGGGACGGCCTGCGGTAAGACCTCTGGGGTCACACGGGCACACAGCGGGTCAGGGAGGGTGGGGACAGCCTGCGGTAAGACCTCTGGGGTCACACGGGCGCACAGCGGGTCAGGGAGGGTGGGGACAGCCTGCGGTAAGACCTCTGGGGTCACACGGGCACACAGCGGGTCAGGGAGGGTGGGGACAGCCTGCGGTAAGACCTCTGGGGTCACACGGGCGCACAGCGGGTCAGGGAGGGTGGGGACAGCCTGCGGTAAGACCTCTGGGGTCACACGGGCGCACAGCGGGTCAGGGAGGGTGGGGATAGCCTGCGGTAAGACCTCTGGGGTCACACGGGCACACAGCGGGTCAGGGAGGGTGGGGACAGCCTGCGGTAAGACCTCTGGGGTCACACGGGCACACAGCGGGTCAGGGAGGGTGGGGACAGCCTGCGGTAAGACCTCTGAGTCACACGGGCGCACAGCGGGTCAGGGAGGGTGGGGACAGCCTGCGGTAAGACCTCTGAGTCACACGGGCGCACAGCGGGTCAGGGAGGGTGGGGACAGCCTGCGGTAAGACCTCTGGGGTCACACGGGCACACAGCGGGTCAGGGAGGGTGGGGACAGCCTGCGGTAAGACCTCTGGGGTCACACGGGCACACAGCGGGTCAGGGAGGGTGGGGACAGCCTGCGGTAAGACCTCTGGGGTCACACGGGCACACAGCGGGTCAGGGAGGGTGGGGACAGCCTGCGGTAAGACCTCTGGGGTCACACGGGCACACAGCGGGTCAGGGAGGGTGGGGACAGCCTGCGGTAAGACCTCTGGGGTCACACGGGCGCACAGCGGGTCAGGGAGGGTGGGGATAGCCTGCGGTAAGACCTCTGGGGTCACACGGGCGCACAGCGGGTCAGGGAGGGTGGGGATAGCCTGCGGTAAGACCTCTGGGGTCACACGGGCACACAGCGGGTCAGGGAGGGTGGGGACAGCCTGCGGTAAGACCTCTGGGGTCACACGGGCACACAGCGGGTCAGGGAGGGTGGGGACAGCCTGCGGTAAGACCTCTGGGGTCACACGGGCACACAGCGGGTCAGGGAGGGTGGGGACAGCCTGCGGTAAGACCTCTGGGGTCACACGGGCACACAGCGGGTCAGGGAGGGTGGGGACAGCCTGCGGTAAGACCTCTGGGGTCACACGGGCACACAGCGGGTCAGGGAGGGTGGGGATAGCCTGCGGTAAGACCTCTGGGGTCACACGGGCACACAGCGGGTCAGGAGGGTGGGGACAGCCTGCGGTAAGACCTCTGGGGTCACACGGGCACACAGCGGGTCAGGGAGGGTGGGGACAGCCTGCGGTAAGACCTCTGGGGTCACACGGGCACACAGCGGGTCAGGGAGGGTGGGGACAGCCTGCGGTAAGACCTCTGGGGTCACACGGGCGCACAGCGGGTCAGGGAGGGTGGGGATAGCCTGCGGTAAGACCTCTGGGGTCACACGGGCACACAGCGGGTCAGGGAGGGTGGGGATAGCCTGCGGTAAGACCTCTGGGGTCACACGGGCACACAGCGGGTCAGGAGGGTGGGGACAGCCTGCGGTAAGACCTCTGGGGTCACACGGGCACACAGCGGGTCAGGGAGGGTGGGGACAGCCTGCGGTAAGACCTCTGGGGTCACACGGGCGCACAGCGGGTCAGGGGGGGTGGGGACAGCCTGCGGTAAGACCTCTGGGGTCACACGGGCGCACAGCGGGTCAGGGAGGGTGGGGACAGCCTGCGGTAAGACCTCTGGGGTCACACGGGCACACAGCGGGTCAGGGAGGGTGGGGACAGCCTGCGGTAAGACCTCTGGGGTCACACGGGCACACAGCGGGTCAGGGAGGGTGGGGACAGCCTGCGGTAAGACCTCTGGGGTCACACGGGCACACAGCGGGTCAGGGAGGGTGGGGACAGCCTGCGGTAAGACCTCTGAGTCACACGGGCGCACAGCGGGTCAGGGAGGGTGGGGACAGCCTGCGGTAAGACCTCTGAGTCACACGGGCGCACAGCGGGTCAGGGAGGGTGGGGATAGCCTGCGGTAAGACCTCTGGGGTCACACGGGCACACCGCGGGTCAGGACGGGTCTGGGCAACATGAAAAACAAAGGCATGTGGTGCAGATCGCACAGCTTTGTTTCCAAACAACACTGGTTGCAAACACTTGCAAACAAAAGCAAATAGGAATTGAGACCAGCCTCTTTGCAGCACCGCATACACAAATGAATGAACGCCCATTTCACGCACGACATGCCGATTACTAAAAGGCAGCCAACCAAGTTTGGGCCATAAGCGATAGCCCATCGCCCGACTTAAAGGGTGTTTGATACCTGTCTGTGCTTTCTTATTGTCGGACTTTGCTGTAGCATCTGGTGGCGCAGTTTTCTTTGCTTCCACGCTCTTGGAGACCGTGGTTTTCTTTTTCTTCGTTTCTTGCTCTTCCACTTCCTTTGATTTGGCTTGCCGTGACCTGATTTGGGACAGATCAGTTGCCGATTATGACAATAAACTATATCTGCACCTGCACCAACCGTGAAAAGAGGCTTTGGCATCACTCATGAAATCGTCGAATGTCATTTCTCGCCAAATGATGGCATTTGTGCGATTGGGAAGAAGAGAAACGCTGTGCACGTGCTAATACAAAACCTGACAAGAACAAAAGCTCGAGCACTTATTACAGCTGTAATACAAAGGAATATTAATTGACAAGTACAGCTAATCACTGATAAAGTACATTCCCAACAACTTCAAATCAGGACCATACATTAAGAAGTACAAATGAGTCCGCTGTCATTGTGTACGTAATGGTTTATACAGACGTCGGCTGCAGCTTCATGTTACAGCTGCCAGACAGGCAGTGGGCCAATCAACCGAATCTTGATCAATCGTGAAGCATTATCAGTGTGTACGGTAAGCGCACGCAGTATAGCACATATACTCTACGGGCAAAGAAATCAAAGTTCGACACTTTCACAGCCCCCTCCCCCCCCCCCCCATACAAAAGCATACGAATGGCTTACACACGTTCATCTGCGTAGCTTATTTATCAGCGCAGTGTAACAATTACCGACAGGAAGATGCAATTCAAACCTAATACATTGGAGTCGAATACATGTGGGAACCATTCGTGGTGTCTAAAAGACGCACGGAGGTAGGGGGTCGGTTCGTGAGTTTGCTAACAAAGTCCACTGGTGTGGCTTTCAGACGTTAACATCCCCCGCTTAAAAAATGGGAGGCTGCGGGTATGGCCACTGGCACGGCCCAATGGCCGCTTCACACAATGGTGATGAGCTTGCGATACCTGCGTCGATATCTGCGTCGAGTGATCTGCACAACACGGTGTACGCCTACGCTGACACCGGTCCGACGTCGGTAACTGCTACACCCAGCCAGCTATGACATTTAATCTTAAACACGTCCCAGAGGACATGGTCCGCGCCAGCGACCGGGCGCCGGCCGTACACACCGCCTCACGTTGTGCTGGTAATACGGCTGTGCGTCTCCTCTCCCCACAACCGTGTTCGTCTAACGCCGCCGCGACATCGGGCGTCGGGAGCTGCGACCAGTTTCAACAGGAACTGCGGTGTAGTTTTTCCGCGTCAAAGGAGTTTCACGCTGCCTTCGTTAATAGAGTGGCGAGCACTAGATTCTGCTGAACTTGACATGCTGCCATAAAATCCCTTTCATCAAACAGCGTGCGCCCACATGCATTGAAAAAGCAACAGGGTCGTTTATGGAATTGCGCTTAGTATTGTTTAACGTCACATGCAGCTGCAATCGGCGGCAACGACAATATCATTGTCTAAAAAGCGTGACGGCCCAGACGGGTCAAGACTGGTCACTGTCCTACATTATCATAAAACTTTGTCTGCACGCTTTTATCTTTTAGGGACTTTTATCCAGAAGCAGAGCGAAGACAGTTGCACTGATCATGGTTAGATGCGCACGCCCGATGGACTCCAGCCGTGTGGCGCTCCACAGCATCATTTCGTCCGCGCGCGCGACACCGGCGTCATTCACAGCGCGTGCCAAAAAGCAAACGTACATATTAAGAAGGGAGACTTTTCATCTATGCAGAAAACACAAGATGTGTTCAGGTCAATCCTGGCCGGGGTTCGACCCCGTCGCCACTACTTCAATTTACTTAGCACCAATCGACAGTCGGATGGGTGACAACCGTGAAATTCAACGGCTTTGATCTACATTAGGGTCAACACACTTTCTTCGCATCAATTTACAAGCATAACCTGCCTAAATTGTTCGTCCCCATAGCTTGTGTTGTTCGTTCCCACATCTCAATAGGTTAGAGCGCCTGCATGTCGAGCCAACCCGTGGCGAGGTAGGTTCAAGTCGCTGTAAGCTCTCACTATTCGTTGTTGACGTGTATGGCCTGCGACCGGTGGCCGCGCTAAAGTCAGGTGGCGTCAGAGGGCAGGACGGACCGCGTCGAGCATTGCAGCATGTCCAATTGTTGGCCCCGAATTCTGCCGATGACCTGGCATTGCCCGACCGGATGATAGGGGCCAAGCCTCACAAAACGAACACTCTTTAGCACCAGTTCTGACCTCAAAAATCCATCTATTCAAAAGGTTCGGATTGCGTCTTGTGCAGCCCGAACCTTCTGAATAGATGGATCTCAACATGTGCCATTTTGCAATTTGTAAAAAGGCCCTTTGTCGCAGACTCAATGGTTGTCATCCGCTGTTAGGGAGATAGTCTAAGGGCTACCAATGTTTCTAGCTGGGCTTCGCCGCCGGGTAGCGACAAGATGACTACCCAAAGTAGCTGGTTCCATGTCCACCGCAATGGCATGATCTGATGATGTTGATGATGATTGAGGCTTTCGGGCGCGCCCACTGCCCTCGTCATGATGGCATGACCTGAAGGCCTGGTATCCAACAGCGTGTCGTCCGCTCAGGCGGCAGCCTGTTCCACCTCGTCACACGGCCCTGGTCATCAGGCAGCTGGCGCTCGCCCCTGCGCCGGTGCCGGCTGGCGCGGCTCACCTGTTGGAGCGGCGCAGGTCCTGGTCGCCGCTGCCGCCGATCTCCTTGCGCGGCACAAAGTCGTCGTCGCGCGCGGCGCCGCGACGACGCGTCGACTCGGACGACTGCGGCCCGGAGGAGGAGTCGTCGTCCTCGGCCTCCGGCGAGCCGTCGTCTGGCGTCAGACACGGCAGACGTCAGGGGATGGCGGCAGCGCCTGTACCTCAGGCCGCTCCGATCACGGCGTCAAACGCTTACCAGTCACATACATGCACGGTCATAAACTGACGCGACAGGTGGTTTAGAATATCATGACAACTTACGATCGATATGACAACGATATGACAACTACGAATACGCCATGACAACTACGAACTATGGTACGAATTGAGTTTACCAAAATCAATCCGTGACCCGTGCAATTTTTCATAATTTTTCATTTTGAGGTCAAATCCGTGAAAAATGTCAGCCCACCCGCCCGCTTCATCCTGTATCTTCACTATTGCTACGTGCTTTCTATCTTGCTGTAATAATTCATCATATCTTTGACGTTAGCATGGGCTCTAGGATAAATATTCCGTGCGTTCTACGTAAACAAGTTAGGGAGCCTCTTTTGCACGCCCAATCAATTTAGGCTACCTATATGACAATATTACGAATCCAAACTGAAGGCACCGAGTGCTTTCGGGAGAGTTGGAGCTGGATCGTGTGGTTAGACCGTGCACTGGTTATTTGAAGTAGAGCCCTTTCGACCGAAAATGATCATTTCAGGGCTATGGGATGAAGGACGGTGGTTATCGGTGGGGCAGGCGTGCATGCGCGTGGAAGGCCAACCGCCAAGCTTTAACCCTTTAACCTGCGCATGTCCGCTGTGTACCCGGTCGGGATCCCCCTCCCCACGGGGCTCTCGGCCCACTGGTGGCCGACACATGCAGCCTGCCCCGGACAGCGGGGTGTCGCGAGGATGCAGCAAGACGAAGGATGAGAGGGTCGGATCGGCTAGGCCGTGTGAGCTGGACCAGGCGGCCATCGACCGGCTGGCTCTCCCCCCCCCCCCCCCCCCCTGCTGCCCGATCGAACAGTGTCGCTTCGCAGCCCACCTGGTCTCGTTCCGTACGGGCACGGTGTCGGTGCGTCGAATAGTAGCCACGGAAATTGCACCGGATATCCGTACTTCGTGCAAGCTCACAAAAGCTCCTTAGAATGACGGTCCTCAGCGAACGGCACCGGTGCTTCCGCCAACCCACAAATATCACGACACGCGAGGATGAAGTCGCTTGGGTGCAGTGAAGGTGGGACACAGCGGCCGCTGTGCACTCACAGCGACAGCGACCGTTGTGCACTCGCAGCGAGCAGCGACAGTGACCGCTGTGCACTCGCAGCGACGGCGATGCTACTGACGACCGACCAGCTCTTGGGTCGCGATGCATACGCACGCCGAACAGCGGGCTGCTGTGTGCCGTTTCTGGTGTGCTTTTTGGCCACACGTCCATCCAATCATTAACACACGCATGCCCAGAAGGGAAGATCCGCCGTGTTCTTGCTCAGTACGGCTCGTGCTGAAGTCAAACCTTTGTTGAGCTATCGCAGAGGACATGCGTGGGGCGGGGCGGCAGCCACTAACCGTCTGATTTGTCGTCGTCCTGTTTCTCGTCGCTACTGCTCTGCTCGTCGTCGACCACGTCCGACTCGTAGCCCTCCTTGAGCCGCTCTAGCACCTCGATGTAGTCCAGCTCGGCCAGGTACTCGTCGCCATAGTTCTTGCCGTCCTGTGGCGTGGCGGCGAACCCGGATGAGCACGCGCCAGGCTCCAGCGCGGGCCGGGACAGGGCAGACGAATGGGGGCAGCACCATAGGACAGGCCCCAGAGCGGGCCGGCGGCCACAGGGCAGACAACAGGGGGCAGGACGGCCCCGGCGCCTCACGACTGGCGCTAGGCCCTGACGTCTCCCCACCAACGCCGGGCCGCGACGCCCCCCAACTAGCGCTAGGCCCCGACGCCTCCCAACTGGCGCTAGGCCCCGGCACCGCACGCACCTCGTTGGCACCGGACTCTGTGAGCAGCTGCCCGGCGTACACGCAGATGAAGCCGCCCTTGGGGATGTCATCCAAGCAGCGGATGCCCCAGCCACGGCGCAGTGTCTTGAACACCTGCAGGCGCAGCCGCAGCGGATGCTGGCACACCCGGTTCAGGCAGCTGGAGCGGCATTTACACCTGCCGGGAGCACGCACACGGCCGTCCAACAACACGGCGCACACACAAGGCACGCACAGCCACACCAGCTGCACCAAAAGGCATGAAACAGATGCAAAAGATAGGCGAACACCGGTACGCATTACACTCGTCATCGCCTGGGAAAACGTTCACCAAACCCAAGGCACACCAACAAATGTGATCTGACGCCGCGAACAGACCAGAATTAGCACATGGTACGGCACGCATGCCTGGGCCAGAAACAAACATAACAAATACAACCAAGCATGACGTTCACAATGTAGCATCTAAAAGCTTTTGCCGCAATTTTATGAATCAGTCTTTTCTACACATCAGGTACAAGTTAACTTCACCATTGCCTATCACAACGCTTTCTCGCGTCGCCCCCGTCCACTCCCCGGCGTCCACCGCTACGGAGACGGACTGGCGCACCTGTCGTTGCACTCGTAAATGCCGGTGATGACGTTGCCGTTGATGAGGCGGCGGTAGTGGTAGCCGGCCGTCTCGTCCACCTGGCCGGTGGGCCCAAACGCTGTACCCTGGATGGTGGACTGCCAGCAGGAGCACTTCTGCTTGTCCTGACGGGGAGGCGGGCCGGCCGGTCGGCGGCGGTCAGGGGCGGCGCGCGCGCGGGGGCCGGCGCCGGCGGCGCTCGCCGGTGTCAGGGGGCAGTGTCATCCTGCGCTGGCGGCGCCGGGTCCGCCGCCCGCCGGGCCGCGTCAGTCGCAGCGGCGGGCCTGTCCGGCTGTCCGGGCGCCGCCGCCAGAGCCTCGAGACGGCGGCGGCCGGGAACGGCCGCTCGGTGTCGGCCCCTGCCGACCTGGCCGGCCTCAGACCGCGGCCCGGCCCGGTCAGGCGGGGTCGTGAGCCGACCCGGCGCGCCGCGGACCCGGACGGCCGCCGCTCAAACCTTTTACTGTTCATCATGGCGTCGCCGAGACAAAGGGCGCGGACTCTTCAGGTGCACATTACACGTACGAATTCACAGCGCACCCGACGAACGCCGCCTCGTCGGCGGGACGAGCGGGCAGCGGGGCCGGCCGCGTACCTGGCAGTCGTCAGTGCAGTCGCAGCAGGTCAGGAAGTTGGAGTCCAGGTTGAGCTGCACGCCACTGGTAGGCAGCCGCCGCGTGCTGTACTCCACGTAGTCGGGGTAGTCACGGTTCAGCGAGTTCACGCACGACACAGCCACGTTCTCCTTCCCGTACGATATGTCCTGCCAACGGCCTGGCGTTACGCAAACGCGCGAACAAACGCCTGCGCCCATCCGCCTTACGTCCCGAATCCGCACCAGCTGGCCACAGAGCCGTCTCGCTGGGCCTGGCAGGTGGGTGGGGGGGGGGGGGGAGGGGGGGGGGGGGGAGTATGACGTTCCTGGCACCTCGACGATGATGATGATTTGGGGTTTTAGGGCGCATCAACTGCTGTAGGTCATGCAGCGCCCATTTCCTGGCACCTCAACATGCGGGGTTAACACGAAGGTAAGGCGTAACGCGAGTCGACGCGCTGCCTCCAGCATCTTGCGTCCAACCGCATTGAGCGGACTATGCTACCAGTCACAGAAGAACGCACAACGCCAGCCACCGACTGCTGTCTTGAAGTGAGACCGGCCACACCAACTCGGCTGACCTTGATGCTGCAGAACTTCCTGGCCGGCTCGAACTCGGTGAAGCAGTGAACCCAGAAGTCGAAGCAGAAGCAGTCGATCTCCAGCTTGCAGTCGGTGCGGCGCAGATAGGTGAACACCTCGTCGAGCGAGCGGAGGCGGCGGCCGCACGGCGCCCGGTACAGCACCGTCCGCTTGCTGGTCCGGTGACGCACGATCTCGCTGCCGAACACGGCCGGCCGTCAGCCCGCGCGGCGACGGCGCGACACGCCCTGACACCCAGCGGCGGCAGCTCCCAGCACACTCCAGCGCGGCGGCACCATCGTGCTGCCCTGATGCTATGCTCGCTAACTTTCAGCTCAGCGTGTCTTCAGCATCGTCCGTCCGAGAGAGAGAGCAGCTACTTGCCCCAAGGGCCCGACGCCGTCCTCCCATCACAACCGCGAGTGTCTGGACAACGAAACCCAACAAACCGAACGAAAAAAACGCGAGAGTCGATATGGTGGTTCTTTTCTGCTATCTGACACAGAGCGGCATCAAGTCACACGGACCTAAAACTGTACCTGCACGTTAATCAATGGGTTCGACAAGCACCTTACCACAGTACAAACAGAATAACGCGTGCGTCGCTCGGTGGTGGCGCCGCAGCACTGCGGTCAGCCAGGCCGCGTCCGGCGGCCGCCTTACCGTATCCAGCCGCTCATCATGGGCATCAGCAGCGGGTTGACGCCCTTGAGCCGGGCCATGTCGACGCTGAAGTTGCGGATGCAGGCTCGGCCGCAGGCGTGCGGCTGCAGGCGCCGCGGCGTGACGCGAGGTTTGCTGCTGATCTGGCGACAGGCGGACAGCTGAGCGGTGACGCCGGCTACCCACTGACGCCCAGCGAAGGCTCGACCGGCGGCGCTCAGTCCCACCCAGCCGCACGTCAGCAGCGAGGCCTCACCGGGGCCGGCCATCCACCGATGCTCGGCGAAGGCTCGCCCGGCGGCACTCAGTCCCACCCGGCCGCGTATCAGCAGCGATGCCTCACCGGGGCCGGCCATGAGTCACACCGACAGCCGTCACATCGCCACGAGACGTTCGAAAGCAACACCGAAGGCACACCCGCATGATTCCATTTATCCGATCACTCATGTGCACAATGACTAGAATTAACTAGTTTCGTTATTCCAACATGCTTGCTCCCTGATCTCGACATCAATGAGACCAGGTTCGAACTTAGCGCACCTGACCGACAGGAGCGCGGTGGTCGGCACCCCGCGCCGGCCGGGCCCAGCCCTGCTCTGGCTTGACGCGCCTCACCTCTGTGATCTGGCCGTCGCCCTCCATGGGTGAAATGGGCGAGATAAATCGGTCGGTGGGCGGCGGCGGCGGCGTCACCTCCTGCGCCGCCGGCGTCGTGCTCTTGCGGGCGACGGCGCGCGGCGGGCGGCGAAGCGCCGCCGCCGCCGCCGTCTCCTCGGCCGACTCTTCCTCTTGCTCAGAGTGTCGAGTGTACTCGACGTATACGCGATTTTTCTGAAGACAAGCCGGCCCGGTGAGCGGCGGAGCGGGTGGCGGAGGCTTGGACGGACCGGCCGCCGGGACACAGAACGCGGTCTCACACACCGGTCAGGCGTCAGGCGCCATGGCGTGGCAGCGGCAATGTTGGGCTGCTGGCAGCTTGTTCGTGCCAAACGGTCAATCCGTTACTGCAGCTGCACAACATGATGAGTGTCAACAACATGTCTTGCGATTGGCAGTGACAAAAGTATGACCAACATTAAGCCACTCGAAAGATTGCTTTTACTGACAAGCCCACCGATTACACTCGTGCACAGCAACAAGATCAGCGACGTTATAGCGACCAGCATTTTCCAACCTTGTTGCACAAGTGAACGACATCAAAATCAGCTGGCCAACGCTGCTTCCCCGGAGCTCGGCGCGCCGGCCTGTCATGGCCGGTCACGCGGTGCCGCCGCTGACCTTGCCAACGTTAACGGCGTTCAGGATGTTCCTGCGCGCACCGGTGCCGAGCTTGCGCGGCTGGTGCGACACCAGCTCGGCGTACATGGGCGCCAGCCGCGTCGAGCCGCGGTAGATCCACTCGGAGCGGCGCTCCGACTCGAACGCCATCTTGACCAGCGAGGCGTCCACCTCGGCCACGCGCGCCGGCAACCACTTGCCTGCAAGCCGGGCGCAGTCGGGCGTTACACACCGGAATGGTCCGCGACGCACGCCGGCGCGCATCACGTCCGCGGAGACGGCTCTGGTACAGAGGGCTGCAGCCAGCGCAGACGCAGCACGGTCCGACGTCGGCAACTATCGACAGGGCACCTACAGAGACGCTGCCTTCTCTCGGCAGCTATCGACAGGGCACCAACAGAGACGCTGCCTTCTCTCGGAAGCTATCGACAGGGCACCAACAGACGCTGCCTTCTCTCGGCAGCTATCGACAGGGCGCCAACAGAGACGCTGCCTTCTCTCGGCAGCTATCGAAAGGGCACCAACAGAGACGGTGTTGTTTCGCGATTGCGGCCAACGCCGCGGGAGCAGCCAACCCGTCCACCGAGCCGGCCCCGGGGTACGCGCGGCCTGCGCAGCCGCCAGCCCTCACCGCCCCACTCGGTCTTCACCACCTGGCCCTTCTGCAGCTTGACCATGGGCCGCTCGGGGAACTGGGCCAGGTACTTGGCGACGAACTCGCGACAGTCCGGGTGCACGTCGTCGGCCACCACCTTGGAGGGCTGGCAGATGAGCTTCAGCTCCCGGTGCTGCACGTACGCCGCGTACCCGTCGTCGAAGAAGATCAGGTACCTGCGTTGTGGGACCACACGCACGTCATGTAAGCGCGTTCCATGACCGACGGTAATGATCGGCTATGTGCGGATAACGAATACTGCGATGTCTACTGACACATTTGATAAGATGTTGCGGGCATTGTACGTGCGCCATTATGCGACTGGGAACACCGCCACGAATGAGCACTTCCTGTGCAACTGCCGGTACATCAAGCATTTGACGCTGGCTGCTCCAGCACATAAGGTTTAAGCAGCGACCACTTTGATGACATATTACAAGGAACATCAACGAAAATGAGCTAGGCAACTTAGGCCCTAAATGTATGCGTGCTAGGTGAACATTACACCAACTGTAAGTGGCCACGTCACCATTGGGTCTCCGGTACGCTCATAACGGCACATCAGGACGGCCGACGACAGCGGAGCGGCGCACCTGTAGCCATTCATGGTCTTGGGCGCCTCGGCGATCGTGCCCGAGTAGAATGTGGGCGTCTGTTGCTGATGGTCGCGGAAGGCGGCCACCACCCGCACGCCCACGTGCAGCCGCACTGTCGACTGGCTGACGTACGCTACCTCTGAGCCCTCCACCACGCGGTTCTTGTTGGAGGTCACGCGCGGCGAGTCGAACTTGACGCGGAGCTGCATTCCCTGCACGGACCACAGCGGAGCTACCGTCACCGCCCGTCGCGGCGACGACAGTCAGGCGACACCGCCTGTCACGGCAGTGACGGTCAGGCGACACGGCCCGTCACGGCGGCGACAGTCAGGCGACACGACCCGTCACGGCGGCGACAGTCAGGCGACACGACCCGTCACGGCAGCGACAGTCAGGCGCCACGACACGTCACGGCGGCGACAGTCAGGCGACACGACCCGTCACGGCGGCGACGGTTAGACGACACGACCCGTCACGGCGACGACAGTCAGGCGATACCGCCCGTCACGGCGGCGACAGTCAGACGATGCCGCCCGTCACGGCGGCGACAGTCAGACGATACCGCCCGTCACGGCGGCGACAGTCAAGCGACACACTCCGTCACGGCGGCGACAGTCAGACGACACGACCCGTCACGGCGGCGACAGTCAGACGGCACGACCCGTCACGGCGGCGACAGTCGGGCAACACGACCCGTCACGGCGGCGACAGTCAGACGACACGACCCGTCACGGCGGCGACAGTCAGACGACACGACCCGTCACGGCGACGACAGTCAGACGGCACGACCCGTCACGGCGGCGACTGTCAGGCGATACGACCCGTCACGGCGGCGACAGTAAGGCGAGACGACCCGTCACGGCGCGCTCGCCAGACACCGACGTAAAAGACGTGGGCAGAACCCATTCCCCACGACTGGCAGCCAGACCTCAACGCTCAGGTTGTCCACTGATCGTTCGAACACACCTGGTTGTCGTGCACTAGCGCCGGACCCAGTGTGCGATGTTACGCTCGTCCTACCAACGACACATTTTGGCTCCCTGGGGCCGGACAGGCACTTGACTTACGCTCTGCTTGACCATGACGTCCTTGACCTTCGCCTTGAACCATGGCGACAGTGTGTCACTATGCATGGCGAACACGTGCTGTCCGGGCTTGACGAGGGGCCGCTGTATAGTGCCCAGCGGCGGCAGGTCAACCGGCAGACTGGTGCGCCCCACCTGCACCACGTCACTGATCATGATCTGCCGGCACCGGAAGCCAGCGTCATGCTCGTCCGGAGGCCAGGCTGCTGCCCCGCATGGACCAAGTCGCCGCGGTACATCAGCTGGGGATGGAGGGCCGAACACAACACATCACCATAACGCATCCTAGTAACTCTTCACTTGTCTTAACGCCTACGTATGTTTATCTTTCAAAGCTAAAAGCTGTGGGGAGAAGGCAGCAATCCCGCCTTTATGACCAAGCAACGCAGATCGCGGGACCCCACCGTCGAACTCTACAAGGCAAGCGCCGGCGCCAGCTGAGGCCTGGTCACAGAGCCGCCGTGGTGGCGAGGACCGGCAGACCCACTCACGTCTCCGACGGCCTTGTCGCCGGGCGAGCCGCCGCCACCGCGGCCGCGGCCCAGGCCCGGCTTCGGCGTCAGCGGTGGCGGAGGTGGCGGCGGCGCGGCCGCCGCCGGCGGTGGCATGGCCGGCGACGCGGCCGGCAGCTGGCGAGCCGTGTAGGCCGGGTCCAGGTCGTACACGCGTCCGTCCGGATAGTGGATGGTGCGCTGCACCTCCGTGTGGAATATGTCGACCGGCGGCAGCTTCTGTCGACGCCAGCAGCCGTGTCAGCCAGCGAGCGACACCAGCGTCCTCGAGATCAGGCGATGACAGTCGCGTCCGACGGCAGCGACAGTCGCGCCCGGTAGGGGTGACAGTAGTGCCCAGCAGCGGTGACAATCACGCCCGGTAGGGGCGACAGTCGCGCCCAGCAGCAGTGACAGTCCCACCCGGTAGGGGGTCCCACACAGTCGTGACCAGTAAGTGACAGTCGCGCCCGGCAGAGATTACAGTCGTGCTCAGCAGCGGTGGCAACCGCGCCCGGCAGCGGTGATAGTCGCGCCCGACAGCGGGGCAATCACATGATGAGACGGACACGCGGCAGCTTCTAGGCGACACGTTCGTACCTGCTGCATCTCGTAACCGTTACTACACATGTCACAGAGACTCGAAAGGCACCATAACACTAGGCATGCAAGGATTGCCTATACTGGCGTTTGGCATACGTGGGCACTGCGTGAAATAACCATCCAACGCGCAAGCCAGCGCCAACCCAGTTTGCCGGCCGGCCAGCTAGCTGGCGCTAAGCAGCGGATACTCCTCTCGACAACTACTCCCACAGACAGGTACACTATACGCCGTAATTTTATGCCTGCGAGATATATTCTTTGATTTTGGCGTAGCAAACATTGGCCAGCGGGTGGCAGTTGTTTGGTGTATGCCCTAACGTCTTGGATACTCCATCACGTGAATGAATAAGAGTGTTAAAGCATATATATATATATATATATATATATATATATATTTGGGTGTAAGAACATTTATCTCAAAACATGCCTTTTCTTAGCGTAACTCACTAATAAAGCTGCTGCTAGCATACTGAGCATATCTTAAGTTCACCACCTCCAGTCTGAAACTCAGGACGAGCTTTCACGACCTGAGAAGCCTAGCCCCAGCTACGCACTGGCACAGGCAAAACAAGACCGCACGCTCGGCTGCTGGCGGGCGGCCGAGGGCCCAGCTGCGGCCGACGGCGTCGCCTGCTGGCCAAGGCTGCCGACGGCGCACCGTCAGGACCGCACGACGGCGGGGGTGGGGGCGGCGGCAGTGACCTGGCGCTCGGCGAGCGGTGGCGGCACGCTGGCCGTGAAGGAGGCGCGCGGTCGACGGCCGGCAGCGCCGCCCAGCAGCGCGCCGGTCGGAGAGTACAGCGTGGAGGCGGCCATCTCGACCGGTCGCCTCTGCGGCGGGGAGCCCCTCGTCGGCCGCGGAAGGTGCACGCCGCCGGCCAGGCAGGCCGGTCCCTCCTGCCGCTGCGGCTGGCTGGCTGGCGCGGCCGGTGGCCGAGCGGCGTCTTCAGCCGATGCCGCGCTCGTCACTCTCTCGCGGGCCGCTGGCGGCGCCGCAGGACAGGAGTCTTGCCCTCCGACGCCAGGATCGCCACCGGCGCCGCCGAGAGCCGGCGCCCTCCAGCTCCGCTGCCCGGCCACACGGTCACCGGACGGCGCCGGCGCCGGTCGAGACGGCCACCCGTCACTGCTAGCCGTGGTCGGCACCGGCCTGCCCGGCGCCGCCGCGCCCTCAGCTGACGGCGCCGGGGCCGGTCGAGACGGCCACCCGTCACTGCTAGCTGCTGTCGGCACCGGCCTGCCCGGCGCCGCCGCGTCCTCAGTTGACCGCGACACTGGACCGGTACGCCAGCGGCCTCTCAGCCGGCAGGCGAGGATCGTCTCGGTATTTGACCTCAGCGGACTGTGGCCAGGATTCCGGGCGACTGAGCCGAGCAGGCCTGGGTCCAGGCTCACGGAGGTCCCGTGAGGCCCCGGTCCGTCAGCCGCACGCTCTCCCAGCGGCTCGACGGCCGCCACCGGCGGCGAGAGCCACGGACCAGGCGGCGGCACTGCCAGGGCCAGGCGCGCCCCGCAAGGAGCAGGAGGCCGCGGCGCCGACCACGACAGATGTGTCGGCCGAGCCGACGGGGCTCGGGGCGACAGCAGGGCTGGTGCCTGCCACTGGGGCGACACTGTCTGGTCAAGCGATGGCCACGGCACTATCGGAACGCGCAGCCTCGGCTCGGCCGGCGCCCGGGGCATCGACGAAACGCCGCCAGCCGCGGGCGGCGGCGAGCCCAGACCGTCCGGCGGGTCACCGCTGGCGGGCGGCGCCGCAGTCGTGCCGGTGCTTTTGACCGGCGGTGGGCGTGGCCGCGGCGGCTCGGCTGGCTGCGGCGGTGGGGGCGGCGCGGGACCGTCCGCAGCGGCTGGCTGAGGTGGCCGCTGATGGAAGAGCGCCCAGGAGGCCACCCAGACAACACCCGGCCGGCAGTCAGGATCGTGGTCACCTGGAGCGGGGTCCGCCTCGCCGCCAGCACCGGCCCACTGCAGGCCTGCCACTGGACTCGTGTGTCCCTGTCGAGCTGGTGATGCCGTAGCACTTTTGCCTGACAGATGAGCAGCGCACGTTTGCTGGCTTATCCTCGGGGCGATGTGTTGGTAAGACACCGGAGGACAGAGCTCCTGTTGCCCGGACCCTGAGACGGTATGTTGACCTGACGCTGGAGCGGTGTATCCCTCCTCGTTCGGCTCTGGAACCACACGCTGGCTACACACTGAACTGGCGTGGACTTGCCCGCTACACCCTGGAACGGCATTTCCCCCTTCGGCAAAGCTGAGGTTCAGTTCGTCGCAACCCGAGACAGTGTGTCCCAGCTTGACAGAACCCTGCGTAGCGGACCCATGCTCGACAGCAGAGCTTCGGAGAACCTTCTCTTGTTTGCCAGAGCTTGGGACAGGGCAACACTGCCTGTCGAAGCTTCGGACGTCTGTCTGCTTGTCCAAACCTGGCGCATGTCCTGCCGTGACAGAGCTTATGGCATTGCGCCACAGTTCCACAAACTCTCTTCCTGTGCACCTCCGTTTCGCACACCGTGGAATAACAGGCGCCTGCCGCGCAGACTGTGCCATCGGGCTGACTAGGTTTCCTTGACTGACATACTCTGGGGCCACGTGTTCCTGTTTGGCAGACTCGGGTGGCGTACGTTCCTGATTGTCGGAGCCTCGGGCGCCTCTCTGTCCGACGGCCCCAGGGAAGTCTCCCTGTCCGACAACCCCTAGAACCGCGCCTCCCTGTCCGACGGCCCCTGGGACTGTGTCTACCTGTCCGACGGCCCCTGGGACTGCGCCTCCCTGTCCAACAACCCCTAGAACCGCGTCTCCCTGTACGACGTCCCCTGGGACTGCGCCTCCCTGTATGACGTCCCCTGGGACTGCGCCTCCCTGTCCGACGTCCCCTGGGACTGCGCCTCCCTGTCCGACGGCCCCTGGGACTGCGCCTCCCTGTCCAACAACCCCTAGAACCGCGTCTCCCTGTACGACGTCCCCTGGGACTGCGCCTCCCTGTCCGACGTCCCCTGGGACTGCGCCTCCCTGTACGACGTCCCCTGGGACTGCGCCTCCCTGTCCGACGTCCCCTGGGACTGCGCCTCCCTGTCCGACGTCCCCTGGGGCTGTGTCTACCTGTCCGACGTCCCCTGGGGCTGTGTCTACCTGTCCGACGTCCCCTGGGACTGCGCCTCCCTGTCCAACAACCCCTAGAACCGCGCCTCCCTGTCCGACGTCCCCTGGGACTGCGCCTCCCTGTCCGACGTCCCCTGGGACTGCGCCTCCCTGTCCGACGTCCCCTGGGGCTGTGTCTACCTGTCCGACGTCCCCTGGGACTGCGCCTCCCTGTCCGACGGCCCCTGGGACTGCGCCTCCCTGTCCGACGTCCCCTGGGACTGCGCCTCCCTGTCCGACGGCCCCTGGGACTGCGCCTCCCTGTCCAACAACCCCTAGAACCGCGTCTCCCTGTACGACGGCCCCTGGGACTGCGCCTCCCTGTCCGACGTCCCCTGGGACTGCGCCTCCCTGTCCGACGTCCCCTGGGACTGCGCCTCCCTGTCCGACGTCCCCTGGGACTGCGCCTCCCTGTCCGACGGCCCCTGGGACTGCGCCTCCCTGTCCGACGGCCCCTGGGACTGCGCCTCCCTGTCCGACGGCCCATGGGACTGCGCTTCCCTGTCCGACGTCCCCTGGGACTGCGCCTCCCTGTCCGACGTCCCCTGGGACTGCGCCTCCCTGTCCGACGGCCCATGGGACTGCGCTTCCCTGTCCGATGTCCCCTGGGACTGCGCCTCCCTGTCCGATGTCCCCTGGGACTGCGCTTCCCTGTCCGATGTCCCCTGGGACTGCGCTTCCCTGTCCGATGTCCCCTGGGACTGCGCTTCCCTGTCCGACGGCCCCTGGGACTGCGCCTCCCTGTCCGATGTCCCCTGGGACTGTGTCTACCTGTTTGATGGCCCCTGGGACTGTGCCTCTCTGGTCAGGTTTTGAAAGAATGTAACATTTTCCACCCCATAATGCGCCCCGTCTCATTCGGACAGGCACGCGGATGACCTCACCACCCTTGGACTTCCCTAGCAGAAACAATTTACCCTTTGACCACATGCCTCGTCCCTCATACACGGGCTCCGTGAGGGAGTGGCTCTGCTCGACGGGCGCCGAGGCCGTGGGGTACTGTTCGTCACGCTCTGCCACAGGACGTCCCTGTTTGGTACACTCAGCAACCTGCAGCCGGTTAGACCCATGGATAGCGTGTCTCTGCCTTAGCATAATGCGACCCTCCTTTAAGGTTACTACCGCGAGGCTCTGCCGGAGCCGCGCCCCGGCCGTGTCGCTCTGTCTGAGCTTCCGCATATAGCAGAACTTCGCGGTGAGTCTTTTGGTGCGACTCAACGGGACTGGACCCGGAGCAGCGCGGTCGCGCTGACAAGAATCTGGCTCTGTGTGACCCTGCGGACTAGTCACTGGGCTACGCTGTTTCTGCCGACGGGACTCTGGGTCACCGTGTCCCTGCTGGCCGGGCGGTGGCTCACTGCAACCCAGCTGGATGGAGCCAGCCGAGCCGTCTGCCTGCTGACCAGAGCCAAGGGTGATGCGCTGCCCAGGCTTGACGCCCCTCCAAAGCCGGCTGGCCAGCGTCAGCGCAGCCGCCGGCGGGCCGCCGCCAGCCGCCGTCGGGCCGCCGCCAGCCACCACCGGACCGCCGCCAGTCGCCGCCGGACCGCCGCCAGCCGCCGGCGGGCCGCCGCCAGCCGCTGCCGGACCGCCGCCAGCCGCCGCCGGGCCTCCGCCAGCCACCACCGGACCGCCGCCAGCCGCCGCCGGGCCTCCGCCAGCCACCACCGGACCGCCGCCAGCCGCCGGCGGGCCGCCGCCAGCCGCCGTCGGACCGCCGCCAGCCACCACCGGACCGCCGCCAGCCGCCGGCGGGCCGCCGCCAGCCGCCGCCGGGCAGCCGCCAGCCACCAATGGACCGCCGCCAGCCGCCGGCGGGCCGCCGCCAGCCGCCGGCGGACCGCCGCCAGCCGCCGCGCCGA